CTATCAGGTCAAGACAGATCAAATGAGCAAAGGATAAGAAGATAGAAGACTTAAACAATATAATCAATAAGCTAGATCTTATTTGTATTTTTTTAACTTGACACCCTAATAATAAGAGACTACACCTTAAGCTCAAGTGCCCCTGGAGCATTCACAAAAAGTGATCAGATATTAGGTCACAAAGAAACATAAAGAGTTCCACAAAGTAGTAGTATTATATAATTTGATCACGCCTCAGTAAAATTAGAAATTACTAACAAAAATAAAAATATCAAAGGCCTTTCCACCTGGAAGTTTAAAAACCTCCTATTAAACTACAGTCATGTACCATGTAACAACATTTCAGTCAACGACAGGCCACATATGTGATGGTAGTCCCATAAGATTATAATACTGTATTTTTACTGTACCTTTTTCTGTTTAGATAAACAAATAATTACCATTGTATTACAGTTGCCCACGGTATTCAGTACAGAAACATGCTATCACAGGTTGTATCTAGGAGCAATACACTATGTGTGTAGTAGGCTTTTATAATTGAATTCTTTGATGTTTGCACAATGATGAAATCACCTAACAATGTATTCCTCAGAATGTGGCCCTGTTGTTAAGTGACACATGATTGTTGAAAGGGAAAATACAAACTGAAGTTATAGAAAAAAAAATAGTGACAATGTAAACACTATATATCAGAATCTATGGAATCAATTTAAAGCAAAGATCAGAAGAAAATTGATGGCATTAAACAAGGAGTTACATATGTCAATTTGTCTTATTACTGATGATATTAATGGTGATAATGCAGTTAAGGTGGCTAGGTTATTCCACTGTAAAGTTAGTATTTTTCTCTCTGTAAGTAATAAGACTCTTGTGAGAAGATACTTTGAACTATGTTTCTTGTTTCTTATACTTTAGCCTACTAATTTTAGCATCCATTAGTGAATCTTATCCACAAGCCTAAACATGTATTATCTGGCCCTCTAAGAAAAAGTTTGCCAACCTCTTAATTATCTTTATTTGCAAATGATACGGTACAATACCTAGAAACCCCTAGAGAATCAGTGTTAAAGAGAAAAATCAATAATGTATGTACCACAACTGAATTTTTCAGTAGAGGGAGAATGAAAGTTCAGGAGAAGGTAAGAGGATCAGGAGTCAGCAAAGCCTATCTGTTAAGGGCCAGATAATATTTGTGTGCTATGCTGTATCTCACGCCACTGCTGTTGCTGTTGTAGTGCTAAAGCAGATGTAGACAATCTGTAAACAAATGAGAGTGACTGTATTACAATAACAGTCTATTTAAAAAAAAAAATAGATGGGCAGGCCAGATTTGGCTCACAGAACCTACTTTGCCTTAGATTATGGGAAAGGGAATACGAAGAGGATGTCCATTCTTACTACTTTGTTATCTCTCCAGTTCTTCCAACACACCTTAATTTTTTTTCTTAATCTGCTCCAGTTATACCTTTCCTGCAAACACAGACAATGTGCTAATAAAAGTCTCAAATATACCTTCTTGCTTGTTTATATTCCTGAACCTATGTAACTTTCCTGGGAAGGAATCATTTCTTTCCATATCTCACACTCCAGATTTGGATCAGAGTGTAGAAAATGGGAGAAAAAAATTCTTATGGGAGAAGTAAAAAGTAGGAAATAAATGCAGAGGGAGAGGAAAGGGATGGAAGAGGAACCTGAGTCATGTAGGAGGGAGCCTGTGTGGAGAAGATGGATGACGAGTTCCTTGAAGTACGTGGTATTGTAGTGAATCATAAGAGATGAGAGGGAACCTAGGATCGAATAAAAATAGAAGCAGTTTCATAGGTGGAGATGTGGTTTATTTCCTGAGGAGTGGAAGAAGGAAATGCCAAGGAATTGGGGTAGTTGGAAAGAGGCAGATAGTGACTAGACATAACGGGGGGAAAGATCTGGAAGAACCTTGAGTGATTAAAATGGAAAAATAGGTAGGTTTAGTAGACTAAGCTTCCTTGAGTTCAAATATTTATTCACTTGCCTTTCCCTTCCTAAGGAATAGAGGGATTCTTTCAATAAACATTTGGATTACCATGTGGTACATACATGTTAGTGTCCATTGTAACTCTTGCATCAGTAAATACATTATATTGAACTCATATCTGAAAAATCTGTTAGTAGCCAATTTATTTCTGGTCTTTCATTACCTTTATTTTTTTATTTTTATTTTTTTTTTTTTGAGACAGAGTCTCACTTTGTTGCCCAGGCTAGAGTGAGTGCCGTGGCGTCAGCCTGGCTCACAGCAACCTCAATCTCCGGGGCTCAGCGATCCTACTGCCTCAGCCTCCTGAGTAGCTGGGACTACAGGCATGCGCCACCATGCCCAGCTAATTTTTTTTCTGTATATATTAGTTGGCCAATTAATTTCTTTCTATTTATAGTAGAGACGGGGTCTCACTCAGGCTGGTTTCGAACTCCTGACCTTGAGCAATCCGCCCGCCTCGGCCTTTTTGTTTGTTTGTTTGTTTGTTTGTTTTTATTTTTTTTTATTTATTTATTTTTTGAGACAGAGTCTCACTTTTGTTGCCCAGGCTAGAGTGAGTGCCGTGGCATCAGCCTAGCTCACAGCAACCTCAAACTCCTGGGCTCAAACGATCCTCCTGCCTCAGCCTCCCAAGTAGCTGGGACTACAGGCATGTGCCACCATGCCCGGCTAGTTTTTTGTATATATATTTTTAGTTGGTCAATTAATTTCTTTCTATTTTTTTTTTAGTAGAGACGGGGTCTCGCTCAGGATGGTTTCGAACTCCCAACCTCGAGCAATCCGCCCGCCTCGGCCTCCCAGAGTGCTAGGATTACAGGCGTGAGCCACCGCGCCCGGCATTATTACCTTTAAAATACATCTGCTCATTTGAATTCTTTTAGGCCAAACTATCTTTAAATATGCTCCTGGTGTCAGAACTACAGGAACATCTTTACAAAGTTTTTTCCTGGGAGCCATTGTCAGTGCTTTTCTAGATTATATACCTATAACCTGTTGATAGAGAGATTCATCTTCTAGTATTGACCCATTTAGGCAGAGGTGTAGTAAAGGTCATCAAATCAGGTGGAACAAGTCCCTGAAAAACCACTGGTCTTCTCACAGCAATATGAAGTATTTATGATACCTGTGCCAGGATATAACTGTCACCCTTAGAGGCGTTCACCAAGGGGATGCCTATTTTGTCACTCACAATAATTACATGTGTCATTATAATCTACTGAAGACTCATTTTTCTACCTTTAGACATTCTAGATCACTTCTAAGAAGAGGTTTTATTGTATGCTAAATATTGTGTTCAGTCAGCAATATTTTAAAAAAACAAACTAGTATATAGAGTTATGGAACATTAGAGCTATCAAGGGCCTTTTCACTTAGTGAATGATAACTGGGAACTAGAAAAGCCCCTCATAGACCAGTACCTTAAGGGAGAGATGAGCAACCATATAAATAGGACATAGAATTACTTTGAAAGAAATATTAATATATAGATAAAAACCAATTACTATTTTCTATTTTTCCCCCAGGTCAGTTTATGCAGAACTATATGAATTGTGTAATTACAGAATTTCTAGTTTTCCCTTTAGGGCAAGAATTTGCTTTCTCCTCTTTATGTTGTTAGGGCCTTGCATATAGTAGGTGCTTAGTAAAAAGTCTTGTAAGTGAAAAAGTAATGCATATTTCATGCTATAAAAAAGTAACAAGGGTGATTGATCTGACACCTATTTATCTCCTTATGGCACCGTGAAAGTTGGTTATACAAATTGAGTCACTCTTGTCATACCAACTAAATCAGAGTTGAGAGGCCAGGGAGAAAAAGTACTTAGGGCACCTAGCACCTGCTCCAAGAATTGAATTTTCCACAAGCCCAGCTGCTGAAACAACCTACTGTAACCTTAGGACCAGTTTACAGCTGTAATGACCTGCTGTGACTCTAAGGCTGGTTTTACCTACCACTATCACTAGCCAGTCAGAGCTTACCAACTCCCAAAAGCTTCTCTACTGTCAATGAGCCGCTTCTCTAGTGCCAATTGAGCTTTCCTTCAAAGGAATAGGTAACATTTTCCTAATCCAATCCTAACCTTTTTTTGGTTCTTTCTGACATACTGAAGACCCTCCTGACCAATGCATATGCCCAAATTGTAAATCTTGTTTCCCAAATAAAACAGTAATTTAGAGATTCACCTCTATATTTTATTTTGACTTTGCTGATACTTAACATTTTCTTGTTTATAACTATTTTTTATTCTCTAAGAAAATTGAGTAAAGAGCTGGGTGTGGTGTCTCACGCCTGTAATCCCAGCACTTGGGGAGGCTGAGGTGGTGGGAGGATCACTTGAGCCCAGGAGTTCACAACCAGCCTGGGCAACATAGCAAGACCTTGTCTCTACTTAAAGAAAAAGAGAGAGAGTGAGAAAGAAAAACAGGTAAAGAGTAGAAGATGTTATTATAATTGGCAAGGACTTCTTGGAAAATAGACTAAATGTTTCTGACATTTAGACTAAACAATAGACTAAATGTTTCTAACATTAGTTTTTATACTAATGTTTCTAAAATGATTGCCAAGCTGGGCATGTTGGCAGATGTCTGTAGTCCCAGCTATTCAGGAGGCTGAGGTGAGAGAATCACTTGAGCCCAGCAGTTTGAGGCTGTAGTTCACTATAATCGTGCTTGTGAATAGCCACTGCACTCGATCCTGGGCAACATAGTGAGACCATGTCTCAAAATAAATAGATAGTCTAATCAGTGAGTTATTGTATTAGAATTTATATTTTAAAATCATCTTGAAAATTCTACAGATCAAAATTTAAGTTTTATTTTGTAGAATTCATGTGACCTAAGTTTTCAAAGTGTTTTTTTTTTTTTAAGCTCTCTTAATGATGCATGGACTTCATCATTTAAATCCAGAAACAAAATGTAGAATAGTCTCATAGTAATTTTTGATTCTGGTCTTTTAAAGTTCTACCTTTTTTTCTCTCCTCATTTTTAGAATTGCCAATGCCACTCCCATCCCAGGAGACTTGCTTCGAGAAAATACAGATGAGGTGTTTCCAGATGAACAGCTTAGTGATGGGGAGAACGGTATCCCTGTTGGTATGTCACCAGATAAATTGCCTGGATCTCTGGGACACCCTCGTCCCCAGGAGAAGGATGTGTGGGAAGAGATGGATGCCAACAAGAACAAGATAAAGCTTGGAATTTGTAAGGTGTGTATTTCTTGCATAGGAAGTGATATCTTTCTATGTGCTTATTATTTTTCTTTTATTGTTAGAGCAAAGTGTCATGTCTCCTAATTTTGAATGAGAAGTGGACAGAACATTGTTTTGCTAGTTATTCAAATATTTGTAGTTGCAATATTATGGTGAATTTGGCCCATAACACATATGTTGTAGACATTAAAAATTAATCTTCACCTTATATTTTATGGAAAACATGAAGGTATTTTTAAAAAGTGACAGGACACTGAGACTAAAATAGACATATCTATAGGACAGAAATTAATAGTCCTTCCAAATAATGTGACAAGGGTGGGCCCTTTCTTTAGTGTGTACCAGTGGAGCTATGAGTACCCATTCTGAACACTGTCTCAATGAAGGTAGCGAAGTGAGGTTGAAAGTGGAAAGCATCTCTTTTTGTGCCCTTCCTTCTGTTCTCCTTTTGCTGCAGCAATGGGTCCGGTCCTTGGTATATGTATCCTGCTATGTATCATGCTTTGTAAACCTATATGTGGCTCTTGCTCTATAATCCTATCTTTCTCTCCTCAATAAACCTTGTTTTCATGCTTGCCTAAAAAAAAAGTATAAAGCGCCAAACTGATCATGAGCTGAAGTGGATGTTGAATAAATGATATGATTTTTTTCTTTATTAGAATTTCAAGCAGGTACACTTGTCAGTATGGAGAGAGATACAGATTTCTGAATTTTAAGGCTCATTTTTAGTTATCTTTGGGTATATTACCCCCAGACTTTTCCTTGACTTTCCTGTTTCTTGTCATATCCCCTTTCATAGAAGATAAGGTGAAGAGGAGAGGCAATGAATTATAAATCAGTTAGTTTTTAGTGCTATTTAGCTGTTTTTATAAAGGTTTGATTAGGAAGGAGTTTAAACTTACAGGGATGAAATGAGGCTTTGGGCTCATACCTATTAATATGATTGATAGAAAGTTGGCTAGTCATGCTTTATGAATGGGAAATAGATTCTGGCAAGGATCTATGATCAGTTCTGAGGAGCTTAGCCTATCTTTGGACAATTATTAAATTGTATTATTTATTTATTTTTATTTTTGTTTTTAAGAGACAGGCTCTCAGCCGGGCGCGGTGGCTCACGCCTGTAATCCTAGCACTCTGGGAGGCCGAGGCGGGCGGATTGCTCGAGGTCAAGAGTTCGAAACCAGCCTGAGCAAGAGCAAGACCCCGTCTCTACTATAAATAGAAAGAAATTAATTGGCCAACTAATATATATATATAAAAATTAGCCGGGCATGGTGGCACATGCCTGTAGTCCCAGCCACTCGGGAGGCTGAGGCAGAAGGATTACTTGAGCCCAGGAGTTTGAGGCCAGGAGTTAAAGGCCAGCCTGGGCCACATAGTGAGACTCTGTCAAAAAAAAAAAAAAAAAAGAGAGACAGGCTCTCACTATAGTACAGGCTAGGATATAGTGGCTATTCACAGGCATGGTTATGGTATACTCTAACCTCGAACTCCTGGGCTCAAGTGGTCTTCCCACCTTAACCTCCTGAGCAGATCGGACTATAAGCACGTACCACTGTGTCTAGCTAAACTATATAATTTAAAAAGTTAGCTTAAGGTTATTTAGTCTTAGTCTGTTTGGGTTGCTCTAAAAAGTACCATAAAATGTGTACCTTATAAACAACAGAAATTTATTTCTCATGGTTCAGAAGACTGAAAAGTCTAAGAAGGAAGACTAGGCAGATTTGGTATCTGGTAAGGGCCTCTTTCTTTCTGGCTCCTCCTTGCTGTGTCCTCATGTGGTAGAAAAGACAAAGGTCTCTCTTGAGCCTCTTTTATAAGGATGCTATTGTCATTCATGAGGGCTCTGTCTCTGTGATCTAATCACCTCCCAAAGACCCCCTACCTCCTAATACTATCACTTTGGAAGTTTGAATTTCAACATATGAATTTTGGGGAAACATAAACATTCAGACCATAGCAGGTATATACTTTCAGTCATGGGAATCATTTGTAAAAACATTCTCTGCATAGGTATAATATGCTACAATGTGGACTGGCTATTGAATAAGCACTATCTGGACCAATAACAATCAGGAATGAGTAGCAAAAAGTAGACAAGGAGTCAATGTCAGATTTTTGTACTGTCAACTGTGGTTGTCTTTATGGTATCAGGAACAAATTGTTCTTATAGCAAAAAATTACTAGTGACATCCTCAGTTGTCAGTCCATATGGATATCTGTGTATGTGAGAGAGTGAAATGGCACTTGACATAGAAGAAGAATTTGATTACTTTAGTTTTCTGTCTTTCACCAGTTGTCACTATTTAATCTCAGTGAAATTTAAATGGCAGATGGTTTTGACCCTAAGTCATTGCCCATTATTTGTTGTTATATGCAGTTTTCTTGAATTTATATTATATGCTGCTGCATATTGCAAGCTCTCTACTCATTTTGAATAGCTAGATACAACACTAAGCTAAATAATGAAGAGAAGCTATTGGCTTCTGGATTTATTCATTCTTACATAAATTCAACAAAGTTTAACTGACCACTTTCTATTTGTAGTTTACTAAGCTAGATGCTGTATAGTTTAAGACGCATCTTTTACCTTTAAGGAGCTTACAGTCTGTTTGAGTAGATGTGTATGTACATAACCAAATGTGTAGTACAAGACAGAACATTGTGCAAAACAAGAACATTAAAAGGAATTGGAATACCTACAAATAGAGGTAAGAGTTGGGAACATGCCTTATGGAAGAAATGATTGAAGTAGAAATATAAACAAAAATATATAAATGAAAAAGTATATGAATAGAGATTGTAACTTTAGTAATTTACTGGTGATCTAGGAGAAAAATTCTAAGCAGCTTTTTTTGAGATACAGTCTCATTCTGTCACCTAGGTTAGAATGCTGTGGCATCAGCCTAGCTCATAGCAACCTCAAACTCTTGAGTTCAAGCAATTCTCCTGCCTTGGCCTCCTGAGTAGCTGGGACTATAGACATGCACCACTAAACCTGGCTAATTCCTTTCTATTTTTAGTAGAGATGGGGTCTCACTCTTGCTCAGGCTGATCTCGAACTCCTGAGCTCAAGTGATCCTCCCGCTTTGCCCTCCCAGAGTGCTAGGATTACAGGCATGAGCCACCATGCCCAGCCCTAAGCAGCTATTTTTATCTTTTAAAATCTTATACTATATATAAAAGATTATATATGTATCATTTCAAAGCATAATAATATAAGCATGTACACCCACCATCTGCCCCAAGAACTGGAACATTTTAACATATACTCTCTATATTTGTGCTTCTACCCTATCTCCACTGAGATAACCACTATCTTAGGTTGACTTTCATAGAAGTAGACCCACAAAACAAACCTTAACAAATTCAAAAGAATTGAAATCATACTAAGTTGTTCTTTGACCATAGTGGAATTGAACTAGTAATCAATAATAAAAAGACAACAAGAAAATCTCTAAACACATGGAAGTTAAACAGCGTACTTCAATGTAATCCATGGGTCAAAGAGGAAACCTCAAAGGAGTTTTTTTTTAATTACGTAGAACTAAATGAAAGTAAAATTACAACATATTAAAATATGTGGTATACAGCTAAAGCAGTGCTGAGAGGGAAATTTATAGCACTAAATGCTTATAGTAGAAAAAATATAAAGTGTCAGAAAAAGCATTGTGTGACTCAGTCCCATGGTGATCCCATTGTGTCTCTCACTTTTAGGGGCCCAAAATTCAATGCTGCCTATCTAAATGAAGTTGGTCTCCTTATAAAGTCGTAGGTGAATTCCTGTGATTTTATTTTGCCTTGGCATCCATTTTGGTCTTCCTCTAGCACACTCACAAACTTCTTATTGAAGGGGCTTGGATTTTCTTTCTATGCTTTGAGATAGGGATTGCTACCCTGTTTTCTCTCTCTGAGGGCTTGGGTTTTTTTTTGGTTTTTTGGGTTTTTTTTGAGACAGAGTCTCGCAACCCAGGCTAGAGTGCCCTGGCATCAGCCTTGCTCACAGCAACCTCAAACTCCTGGGCTCAAGCAGTCCTTCTGCCTCAGGTTCCCAGGTCGCTGGGACTACAGGCATGCGCCACCATGCCTGGTTAATTTTTTCTATGTATTTTTAGTTGACCAATTAATTTTTTCTATTTTTAGTAGAGATGGTGTCTCGCTCTTGCTCAGGCTGGTCTCGAACTCCTAAGCTCTAGTAATCCTTCTGCCTCAACCTCCCAGAGTGCTAGGATTACAGGCATGAGCCACTGCACCCACCTGGCCTGTCTTTATTGTTTATGATACCAAATCAGCTTGTAAGTAACTAACTACACATAAATTAAATAAATAAGTCTAAATCTTTTTCAAGTTCACATGGCTTTAGTAATCTTTGATAAATAAAGATAAGTTAAAAAAGATACAAGGTTTCAAATCAATAATCCAAATTCTACTTCAAGAAACTAGAAAAAAGGCCAGGCGAGGTGGCTCATGCTTGTAATCCTAGCACTTTGGGAGGCTGAGGCAAGAGGAAGCTTGAGCCTAGGAATTCCAGACCAGCCTGGGTAATAGCAAGACTCCATCTCTAAAAAAAATTAAAAATTAGCTTGACGAGGTAGTTCTTACCTGTGGTCCAGCTACTCGAGAGGCTGAGGCAGGAGGATTGCTTGAGCCCAGGAGTTGGAGGCTGCAGTGAACTATGCTATGATGTACTCTAGCCCAGGCAATGACATGAGACCTTGTCTCAAAAAAGAAGAAAGAAAGAAACTAGAAAAGGAAGAGCAAAATGAACCCAAGACAAGTAGAAGGAAAGAAGTGAATATCTGTTTTATAGCATCACTAAAGTTTTGGTATGTTTTTATTCTCATTCTGTTCTAAATATTTTTCCATAATGAACTTTTTTCACTCATGAGTTATTTTAGTGCATACAAGTTTAGAATTATTACATCTTCCAGGTGAATAGAGGTTTTGCTTTTCATTATATAGTGAACCTTTCTGTTCTATTCTTACTATTAATAATTTTTTCTGTCATTAAAGCCTATTTTGTCAGATATTAATACAGTTATGCTATCTTGCTTTTGGGTAGTACATGCCTGATATATCTTTTTTCATCCTTTATCTTTTTGTCTCTTCCTGTCCTTATTCTTCTATCATGACTTTTATAAGTGGCATTTAAGTGGACAATCTTTTTTTTTTCTTTGAGACAAGAGTCTCGCTCTATTTCCTGAGCTAGAGTGCAGTGGCCTTCATCATAGCTTACTGCAACTTCAAACTCCTGGGCTCAAGTGACCTCCTGCCTCAGCCTCCCAAGTAACTGGGACTACAGGTGCACAACAGCATGCCTGGCTAATTTTTCTATTTTTAGTAAAGATGTGGTCTCACTCTTGCTCAGGGTGGTCTTGAACTCCTGGCCCCAAGGGATCCTCCCATCTTGGCCTCTCAAAGTGCTAGAATTACAGGGATGAACCATTGCACCCGGCCACAATCTTACAATCTTTGTGTTTTAATTGGTTAATTCAGTTCATTTATATTTAGAGTTATTTTTATTTGAACTTGTTACTCTTAACTTATAAATATCTGTTTAGTTTTTTATAGTTTTTTGCTTATTGTTTTTAGATTGTAGATTTTGTTGGTATTTTTCTTCTGTTTTCACTTTGTACTTATTTGAGTTTTAAACATTCTAATTCTGTTCTTTTATTAGTTGTTCTTGATATTCCCCGCATATTTTTACCTTAGAAGTCTCAAGTAAGCAATGTCTTTAACCACCTTTCTGATATTGCAAGGACTTTAGAACATTTTAACTTCAATCATCCCTCTCTCAGTATTGTAGTTCTTTTATTTTTTAATTCTTTCTTTTTTAAAAAAGAATTACCTAAATTAGATTATTAATATTGTTGATATTCTATACAAGTACTGTTTATATGGATTTTCAAAGATGTTTCGCATTTCCTTTTACTTCTGAAAGTCCTGAGCTTGTCTTTCAGAAATATTTCATTTAGAAGTTCCTTTACTTTAGGTATTTTGGTACAGGATTCTTTCAGTTTTTACTTACATATAAATATATTTATTTTAGTCTCATTCTTTCAAGATAGTTCATGCTAAATACAGAGTTTTTCATTGATAGTTACTTTTCCTCTGGCTTTAATCAGTGTTCATAAGTCTGCTGTTGTTCTGTTTTGTTCTTAGCAGGTAATCATTTCCTCCCCTCTACTGTTTAGCTCCCCTCTGTCTTTCCTTCCCATCTACTGTTTAGCTCTTGTCCTTGTCAATTGGATTCTGCATTTTAACTACTATGTGTCTAGGCATATATATCTTTTTCTTTCTCTTGCTTGGAATAGCTTGTGTTTCCTGAATATTTTGATTTATATTTTTGTATCAGTTCTAGGAAATATATAGCCATTGTCTACCTAAATATTGCCTCTTCTTTCTATGGGATCCTAGTTGACATATATTATGTGTTTTTAATTCTATCCACCATTATCTCTTAATATCATTTTTCATATTTTTTTCCTCCTTATCTTCCTGTGCATTGTTCTATGGCATTTTTTTGGCTATGTCTTCCAGTTCACTAATAATGACTTTGGCTTTTTTTGTTGTTGTTGCTAATTTTCTATTTAACTTGTTAATTGAATATTGAATATTAAGCAAATCAGTTAATTCCAAATAAACCTTTGTTGATCTTTGTGATAATGATCTTTATTTATATAAACATTTATACATAGCTGTTTTATATTTTATATCTGAAAAAGTTCAGTATCTGAAGTGTTTGGGAGTTTTAAATTTTTTTAATTTATTATTTCAGCTGACTTTTAGTCATGGTGGCGTGCCTTTTCATGCATTTGATTTTTTTTTTTTTTTTTTGCTTACAAATTAATAATTGGTGAGAGTTCTGTAGACCCACATTAGGGATGAGGAGAAACCTTCCTTCAGAGAAAATTGCCTTCTGTTTCTGCTGGTAGCCAGAGTATATCACCAGTTTGAGACCAATGAGGCATCTTCTTGAAAGTCTCTTATCAGAAAAGATGTCCCAGACTTCCCTACCTGACTGCACTCTGGATGTAAGGCTTGATCTCCCTGATAATTATGCTACTGTAGGCATCTGTTCTTAGAACATCCCCATCCTTCTGTGCTGCCACAGGCTCAACCTCCTTCTGCTCTGCCCCCACTCTTTCTTGTTGTAGCCCAGGTATCTTGTTGTTTGGAGAGGGTGAGGGAATTCAGGCTTGGTAACCACTTATGTCTCAAAGAGAACATTTTTTCCAGGTTTTGGTTATAGGTTAATGGAATTGGGTCCTGCAAACATCCAGTCAGACATAAAAAAAGCCAAGGTCATTAAACATTTTTAGATTATCTTTGTACCAAATATATAAAAAACTAAAATAATACTGGAACTGAGTATAAATTAAGAAAACTCATTTAATAAAGGGTTAATAGCCGGGTGTGGTAGCTCACTGCTTGTAATCCTAGCACTCTGGGAGGCTAAGGTGGGAGGATCATTTGAGGTCAGGAGTTTGGGACCAGCCTCAGCAAGAGCAAGACCTGTCTCTACTAAAAATAGAAAGAAATTAGCTAGACAACTAAAAATAGAAAGATATTAGCTGGACAACTAAAAATAGAAAAAATTAGCCAGGCCTGTAGTCCCAGCTACTCGAGAGGCTGAGGCGGGAGGATCGCTTGAGGCCAGGAATTTGAGGTTGCTGTGAGCTGGGCTTATGCCACTGCACTCTAGCCCAGGCAACAGAGCAAGACTCTGCCCCCCCCCAAAAAAAAAGAATAAATAAAGGGTTAATAGAGAAGAATGTAATGAAGTAAACTAGCCAGAATATCCCAGTCTTCTGATATTACATGTAATCATTTGTTTATGTTATTAATGTTTTGAAAGCTTCAGTGATTCCTCCCATGTGTATTGATTTTATTTTATTTTATATTTTATCTAGGCTGCTACTGAAGAGGAGAACAGTCATGGTCAAGCAAATGGTATTCTCAATGCTCCAAGCCTTGGTTCACCAATTCGTGTCCGCTCAGAGATTACTCAGCCAGACAGAGATGTTCCATTGGTGCGAAAGTTACGTTCCATTCACAGCTTTGAGCTGGAAAAACGTCTGACACTGGAGCCAAAGCCAGATACTGACAAGTTTCTCGAGACCTGGTATAAAAAAAATAGTTTTTCTTTCTTTTTAAAGCTTCTAAGGTATTAATGCCATTATTATTGTTGTTATTATATATTATTATGTAAAACCTTTCAAGTAGAAAATTTTTGGCTGGGCACGGTGGCTCATGCCTATAATCCTAGCACTCTGGGAGGCCAAAGCAAAAAGAATGCTTGAGGTCAGGAGTTCAAGACTAGCCTGAGCAAGAGCAAGACCCCATCTCTACTAAAAGTAGAAAAATTAGCTGGGCATGGTGTAGTACATGCTTGTAGTACCAGCTACTTGGTAGGCTGAGGCAGGAGGATTGCTTCAGCCCAGGAGTTTGAGGTTGCAGTGAGCTATGACTATGATGAGGCCACTGCACTCTAGCATGGCAGACAGAGCAAGATAGTGTCTCAAAAAAGAGAAAAAGAGAGAGAGAGAGAGAGAAAGAAGAAGAAGAAAAGAGAGGAGAGGGGAGGAGGGAGGGGAGGGGAGGGGAGAGGAGAGGAGAGGAGAGGAGAGGAGAGGAGAGGAGAGGGAGGAGAGGAGGAGGAGAGGAGAGGAGAGGAGAGGAGGAGAAGGAGAGGAGGAAGAGAAGAGAAGAGAAGAGAAGAGAAGAGAAGAGAAGAGAAGAGAAGAAAGAGAAGAGAAGAGAAGAAGAAGAGAAGAGAAGAGAAGAGAAGAGAAGAGAAGAGAAGAGAAGAGAAGAGAAGAGAAAAAGAAATTATTGCATTTTTTAGAGAGAGAGAGAGAAAAGAAAAAGAAAAAAAGAGGCCGGGCACAGTGGCTCACACCTGTAATCCTAGCACTCTGGAAGGCTGAGGCGGGCGATTGCTCGAGGTCAGGAGTTTGAAACCAGCCTGAACAAGAGTGAGACCTCGTCTCCACTATAAATAGAAAGAAATTAATTGGCCAACTAATATATATAGAAAAAATTAGCCAGGCATGGTGATGCATGCCTATAGTCCAGCTTCTCGGAGCTGAGGCAGAAGGATTGCTTGAGCCCAGGAGTTTGAGGTTGCTGTGAGCTAGGCTGATGCCATGGCACTCTAGCCTGGGCAACAAAGTGAGACTCTGTCTCAAAAAAAAAAAAAAAAAGAAAAAAAGAAATTCTTGCATTTTTCTGACACTGATTCCATTAAGTTTTCATTTTCATTGTAGTTTTAATTATCATTATCCTGTGAATTGTCTTATATTATTATTAATTCTGTAGCATAGCCTTTGGCTTTGGAAGCTGGAAGCTGAGCAGTGGAAACTCATAACTCATAAGTTAAATGAATAATTTTGCAGTGACTTCTTTTGGAAGGTGATCTTTCAAACAATAGTATAGAGTTAGAGAGGACATGATAAATATGGCATTAGGCCAGGACGAGGGGAACACATGGAGGAGGGAAAAGTAATTTATATACAAGGGACAGGCAGTTCAATTCAATTTGATGAAGGCCTTCTATGAGGAAGGTAATGTAGGAAAGTAGATATCAATAAGTTTATCATTCTTGCCCTCCAGAGCTCACAGTCTACTAGAGAGAAAGAAAGTGGAACTTTAGAGAGCCATACAAAGATAAAGACTGTTTATAGTTCATGGTTATGAGGCACATTATCCTTATAACAAATTTTGATAATGGAAGATAGAAATGAAACTTTAAAAAGAGTTTGGGATATATTTATGAATTATAGATGACTTTAATAGTGTTAAGACCTAAGTGCCCTTAATACTAGTCATACCCATCAATGGTACATCTCTGGTGGCTACTACTGGCAATGAAATATTAGGTTAGAAGGACCATGGATCTGAGTAATATCGTAGATACTGTGTCCCAAGACAATTCAGCCATTTCTGGCCTACTCCAATCTAGCTTCCGTTTTAAACAATCCTTGACATATGTATGTTCTTCTTCACATGGTAATCATTCAGCCTCATAATTATGTTATATAAACACGTCTGCATGTTAATATGATAAAAAAAAAATGGACTGTGGTTGGGGCAGTGTTTTTAACATTTTGAGGTATGGCTAAGATGAGGAGTAAAAGAGTGCAATAGGAATAAAAACTTAGTTTGTTAAAAAATTAGCCTAACAAAAGAAGGAAACTAAAAGGGCCAGGCTGAGGAAAGAGCTGAGCTCCATCTTCCAAAGCAGGATTATGGCAAGTAGAGAGAAGCATTATCAACCCTGTAAAACTTTCCTTATGCTTTATCAATATTTTTCTTTCTCATCTTTGTATGAATATTAGTTTTGTATAGAATTTATATGTTATGTAATAAATGTTTTCCTAAAACAATTGAGTAACTTCTTTTCATTTCCTTAAGCCTGGAGAAAATGCAGAAAGATTCCAGTGCAGGAAAAGAATGTATTCTCCCTGTTCTGCTTCATAAGCCTTGTGTTCCTACCGTGTCCCATGCTGACCACGTCTGGCACTATGATGAAGAATATCTTCCAGATGCCTCCAAGCCTGCTTCTGCCAACACCCCTGAGCAGGCAGATGGTGGTGGCAGCAATGGTTTTATTGCTGTTAACCTGAGCTCTTGCAAACAAGAGATTGATTCCAAAGAATGGGTCATTGTAGACAAGGAACAGGACCTTCAGGATTTTAGGACAAATGAGGCCTTAGGCCATAAAACAACTGGAAGCCCTTCTGATGAGGAGCCTGAAGTGCTTCAAGTTCTGGAGGAATCACCTCAAGGTGAAAAGCTCCGATTAGGCCCTTGGGCAGAAAATGATCATTTCAAGAAGGAAGCTTCTGGTGTGGTCTTAGAACTTTCTGGGGAGTGCCCTGCCACTGCTGCTTCAGAACAGTACATAGATAGGCTGGAACTCCAGGCTGGAGCTGCTAGTCAGTTTATTGCAGCAACACCCACAAGTCTGATGGAGGCGCAAGCAGAAGGACCCCTTACAGCGGTAAGAAATTTGTTTCTGTCGTTTTTCTCCATTATCTATTCAAAGTGCTGTTAACAAAGGACTAACAGTTGATCAACTAAGATTCTTCTTTAGAGGACTAATTTTGGCAAATGGATATAGGGAGTAATGTTTGGATTAAGTTCCATAGCCAATCCTCCAATATGAAATTTTTCAAAAATGAGGTTTCTTTTCATTGTCTCAAACTTAATACACAAAATATCATTATAGCCTAATTTCAGGATAACATTTATAATTAAACCACAAGTACTATCTATGTATGTGTGTATATATATAATATGACTTTTAAAAATTTTATGACCTGGAGTGGTGGCTCACGCCTATAATCCTTGCTCTCTGGGAGGCCAAGGTGGGAGGGTCGCTTGAAGCTAAGAGTTTGAGACCAGCCTAAGCAAGAGTGAGACCTCATCTCCACAAAAAATACAAAAATTATCCTGGCATGGTGGCATGCACCTGTAATCCCAGCTGCTCGGGAGGCCGATGCAGGCAGGAGGATCACTTGAGCCCAGGAGTTTGAGGTTGCAGTGAGCTGTGATCACGCCACTGCACTCTAGCCAGGGTAACAGAGTGAGACTTTGTCTCCAGAGGGGAAAAAAAAATCACAATTCTAGAGATTTTTTTACTATGCATTTGGTGAGGAAAGGCACATTTAACCATTCATGGTTTGTTCTTTACACTGTATCCAGGGGTCCTCAAACTATGGCCTGCGGGCCACATGTGGCCCACCGAGGACATTTATCTGGCATCCGGCCCGCTGGGTGTTTTTGCCACTGCTGCCTGTCCTGCTTAGCAGCCTATTTGTCCCAACCCCACAGTGTGCATGTGTGGAATGTGCGCAGCGCTCTCCAACGGCCCTCCAGCGGTCTGAGGGACAGTGAACTGGCCCCCTGTTTAAAAAGTTTGAGGACCCCCGCAAGCTTAAGCTTATTCCCTTTCTCTTTTATAAACTCAATCCAGAAATTTCTCATATTTTACATTACTCTTAAACAATAGTTTTCCAGCTTTAATAGCCATTGTTTAAAATGGGGAATCCCAGGCTTCACTTCCAGAACTTCTGCTTCAGTAAGTCTAGGGTAGTCTGAACTCAGTAGTCTTCATTTTAACAAGCAAGTAAAGGCAGTAATGATACAAGTCTTCTGCAAAGGAAACTTGAGGAAACACTACTGTTTACGTTCAGTCTTAGGCATTCAGCTAGAGGAGCCTGTTACCCTGTTATTGATTGGTAAGCAGTGATCTCCTGGGTGACTGTGTGATCAGGAGGAACTCCAGCTAAGCCAGAGGTGGCCAATAAAAGCCAGTGAACCCAGACAATAAGGAACTGGGTTCTCAAATCTTAGGCACCTGCAGGTATATCTGTTCTTTTATGGTGGGAGTTACCAGGTTTCCTTAAATTTCATAATCATCTAGCAGCCACCCCCTTTCCATTTCACCCGAAACAGCATTGTTCCACAAACTGAATGTTTTCTATTAGAACACAATTCCACGTGCAGGTGCAAAACAGTACAGGAAGATACCAAAGAAATTTAATTTTGTATATAGTTCTGAGGAATTTGCCTGTACAAATAAATGTTTATAGGGAAATAAATGTCTGCCTATTTCTTCCCTAGAGTTAGTTAGTTGGTCTTTCCCTCTTTCCCATTTAGGCAGGTTGTTCACAGCATAAAGGGGCCTAGCCAAGGAATCAAATTGGAGCCGAAATCTAGTCCAAACTTTACTTTCCAAACTGTGTGTCTTGGCACAGAGCTGTTTCCTCTATGAAGGGCATAATTTTCCACATGTGGGCTGAAAGCAGGTCCTACTGCTTCCCTCTCTCCTTATTCTATCCTTTTTTTCTACCCTACCTTTACTCTTTCCATTCATTCTCTCTTTCCACCTTTGCAGGTTCCCTTTCTTCTTTTCTCTGGCTCTGTCATGCTGTGTAGTAACTATTGTTCAAGCAGCATTTTTCCAACAGCATTCTGGGGTGCCTCCCTTCTTAGAGGCTTTCTGAAGCCTTTGCTCTATTTCTCCTAGTATTTTTTCCACTCTTTCATCAGTGCTGTCCACAGAGATCATTCTCATAGTTATCCTACACTATCTGTGATGTTTTCTCTGTCAAGTTGTTGAGAGGCTTATACTCAGGTATTTATGTATTTGATAAGTTTGACTTTATTTCTAAATAACTTTAAGTAAAATTATTTTTCTTAACTAAGTCTCCAATGAAATGTCAGCTGTATCACTTGCATACTTATTTCTAAGATATTAAACTTCCTATTTCCTTTATTTTCTTGGGCTTGGGATAAAAATATATTTATATTGATTTTCTTCCTGAGGCTTATATTTGTGCAAAGCAGTTGTTATCACTTCCCTAACTTAACCACACATACATTTAATAGGGAATGCTGCCCATTAATCTCTCTAGATCTCTTGCAGCTCTGACTTTATACTCTAACTTGAACAATGTGATAAACCATATTATTGTTCCATCTGAATATTTTAAAATAAGACATATTCTGATGGGAAACTGAGTTTGTTAGTTTGTATCTTTTTCAATCAGGTTTACTTCTTTTTATGATGATATGAAAGGAAAATGTACAGAATATACAGGAAAATATACAGATATAGGCAAAACAAAAGTTTAAATATAAACAAGTATAGTTGACATATTAAATTAACATGATAGGAACTTCGAGAACTCTTTAGTTCTCTTACTTTATTAATCTAGATTTGTGAGCCTTGTTTAGGTCTTCCTTTATCCATACACATGAAACCACTGGTTATCAAATAGACTGTATAAAATTTTTAGATGATGTATTTTTAAAGACAGATTCATTTACTAGATTGAAAAGAAGTTAGTTTGGGGCTAATTTTGGAAATTAGATTATTCCCCAGAATAGTGATAAAATCAATCTGCTATAAATCATTTCTCTTTTTTTGTAGTAGAGACAGGGTCTCACTCTTGCCCAGGCTGGTTTCGAACTTCTGACCCTGAGCGATCCACCCGCCTTGGGCTCCCAGAGTGCTAGGATTACAGGTGTGAGCCACCACGCTTGACCTAAATCATTTCTTAAAAAAATGATGAACAATATGGATTTATAGAGAGTAAGATAAGACTAAGTTTGGCTTATAGAAGAAATATTAAATTACATTTTGGGCCGGGCATGGTGGCTCATGCCTGTCGTCCTGGCACTCTGGGAGGCTGAGGCAGGCAGATCACTCAAGGTCAGGAGTTCGAAACCAGCCTGGGCAAGAGTGATACCCTGTCTCTACTAAAAACAGAAAGAAATTAGCTGGACAACTAAAAATATGTAGAAAAAATTAGCCGGGCATGGTGGCACATGCCTGTAATCCCAGCTACTCGGGAGGCTAAGGCAGAAGGATTGCTTGAGCCCAGGAGTTTGAGGTTGCTGTGAATCAGGCTGATGCCATGGCACTCTAGCTGGGGCAAGACAGTGAGACTCTGTCTCAAATAAATAAATAAATTACATTTTGATTAACACATGGAGAGACAATATTAAACTAGCATAAGTGAAAAACTATAGAGAAGAAAAAACAATACAACTGAAACTGTTTCAAAAAGAGATCTCAGGCCGGGCGCGGTGGCTCACGCCTGTAATCCTAGCTCTCTGGGAGGCCGAGGCGGGCGGATTGCTCGAGGTCAGGAGTTCGAAACCAGCCTGAGCAAGAGCGAGACCCCGTCTCTACTATAAATAGAAAGAAATTAATTGGCCAACTAATATATATAGAAAAAATTAGCCGGGCATGGTGGCACATGCCTGTAGTCCCAGCTACTTGGGAGGCTGAGGCAGGAGGATCCCTTGAGCCCAGTAGTTTGAGGTTGCTGTGAGCTAGGCTGACGCCACGGCACTCACTCTAGCCTGGGCAACAAAGCGAGACTCTGTCTCAAAAAAAAAAAAAAAGAGATCTCAGCAGTGGTCTAGAATGACAATAACTATAGGAAAGAATGTGACCAGTTTTATGTGATACCGAGTAAACACTGTTGGTAGAGAGAATGATGGACTTTGAACAGTGATGTTGTAGAAATGGAAGATTTATTCCTTACAGAGTATGAAGGCAGATTGTACCACATGATCTTTTAGTTCTAAATAGTCCTTCAGAAAGCCAGTGCATCATTTTAATATTACCTTTAGAAGCAGTATAAATGTGACTGGGGCTAATAACACCACCTATATGTTATCTATTGTTGTATAACAAATTATACCAAATTCACTAGCTTTAAACAACAAACAGTCATTACTTAACAGAATTTCTAAGGGTAGAAATGCAGTAGTGGCTTAGTTCAGTGGTTCTGGTTCATGATCTCTCACGAGATTGTTGTCAAGCTGTCAGCGAGGGTTGAAATTATGTTAAGATTTGAGTGGGATGAGAAGATCCACCTCCAAGCTCACTCACATGGCTGTTGGCAGGCCTCAGTTCCCCAATGGCTGTTGGCCAGAGGCTTCAGTTCCTCACTATTTGGGGCTCTTCATACTTGATATAACATCTGGCTTTCCCAGTAAATGAGGAGAGAAAGAGACAAATAGGGGAAGACAGATGGAAAGAACATGTCCCCCCCAAAATAGAAGCCACAGTCTTTTATAACCTAATCTCAGAAAGGACATACCATCAACTTCTGCCATATTCTTTTGGTCACATAGATCAACTTGTACATTGTAGGAGGGGCTACACAAGGGTGTGAATCCCAGGAGGCAGAGATCATTGGGGACCATTTTAGAAGCTGGCTATCATATTACCTTACATTTATATTTTAAAGAATACTTCCATATTTGATCTTAACAGCAACTCCATGGAGCAAGCAGAGGAAATATTATTATCACTTTTTGTACTGAAGACACCAAGGTTGAGGACAGGGAGATGATTTGTGAATAGGCAGATGGCTGGTGGACTAGGTATTCTGTCTCATATGGGGATTGTACCTCACACCAGTCTCTGTCCCTCACACTAGGACATTGTCAACATAGTGCAAGATGTTCCTCATTGAC